TGGGTTCATACTTGGAGTGGACCAAAATTAGTGTGTACTTGAAGTATCGTACACAAACCGTTTGCTGCTGGGAGGTAGCTGCTACTACCTAAGGATGGATGTAATTTATCGAATAACACAAAATCAAGCAAATGGACATATATATAATATGTTTTCATGTAACTATTATTTACAAGAAACGGATATTTCACTAACTACCACTATAATTATCATAATTATTGTTATCTTAAAGCAAATTATTCAAATACTTTTGGAAACTTTTGTATATATATATATATATATATAGTTCTTTTGTCCTATAACACATAATCAAGTAAATGGACAAAATATAATTTCATGTAAAAATTATTTCAAGAAATGAATAATTCATAAAACCAGTATTTTAATCCTAATTAATGTTCTTTTAAAGCACATTATTTGAATATTTTCTTCTAATGCTTTAATTTGGATACTTGTAAGTAACAATAATTCATTGAATGAGCTGGTAATCATACATATATTATATTATGTTTTAACAAACTGTGGTATTGTAGTTTCTCCTAATTGTTGGATTTATGAATGAAAATTCTATTAATTATAAATTATTTTGCTTGACTACCCAACCAGTTCACGTACACATTAAATGCAAATCTCGTGCATATTATGTGTTTATACGTGCAAATCTGTATTTATTTTTCTTGCGAGTTTCAAGAATGAATAATGATTCAAAGTAAAAGGAATATGATTTTGTTTAATATTAATTCGTTAATGTTATGTTCAGAGACTTAACTGAAATATTTATGACATGCAAAAATAAAACTGTTAGGGTTCAAAATTCGTGTTTTCGATAAAACAAATATATATTCGATTCACACACATTTCATTAACCCGGGAAAGAGTGACATACAAGAGTTTAATTCAATACAAATATATATATATACACACACACACACACACACACACACACACAAAACATCATCATCATCTCTCAATCATGAAAAATTCCGATATTTTTCGGAAAAATACACCTATAAATAATATCTATTATATAATACTTACTTTTCGAAAAATACACCTATAAGTTTTGTTTTAGGATTTTGACATAATGAATTGTTGTTAGAAGTTATATTGGATATTATGTTGTGTTTATTTTTATTTATTTTTTTGAACTGAAATTTAGTAGTTATTAGTTTTACTTTTATCGACGGGCATGTTCTTATTTTTTAAAAATTATGAACATTTTAGAAGTTTTATTGGATATTATGTTATGTTTACTTTACATTCAAACAAATAATGCATTGCAAGATAAATCTCATAAGAAATAAACCATAAAAAAACAACAACGGAAATATTTGCATTAGTAATCATACATATATTATATTATGTTTGAACAAACGTGATATTGTCGTCTCTCCTAATTATTCATGATTTATGAAAGAAAATTATATTATATTAATTATGCACTGTTTTGCTTGACTTCCCAACCAGATTCATGTGCAAATCATGTGCAGATCTTGTGCATATTATGTGATTATATGTGCAAATTCGTACCTTTATTTATCTCGTGAGCGTTTTCGAGAATGAATAATAATTCAAAATAAATGGAATATGATATTCTTTAATATTAGTTTGTTAATGTTATGTTTAGAGACATAAATGAAATATTTAATATGATAACATGACATGCAAAAATAAATTGTTAGGGTTTACGATTCGTGTTTTTGACTAAAAAAATTTCTGTTTAATTTACATACATTTAAATAACCTCGGAAAGAGTGACATGCAAGAAAAAATAAAAGTTTAATTAAATAAATAAATAAATATATATATATATATATATATATATATATATATATATATATATATATATATATATATATATATATATATATATATATATATATATATATATATAGATATGTAGGTGAGTGTGTGAGTGTGTGTGTGTGTGTGAGAGAGAGAGAGAGAGAGAGAAAGAGAGAAAGAGAGAGAGAAGAGAAGAGAGATAAAAATGGGGGAAGAGAGGGAAAAATAAAAAAAAAATATATAAATGAATATGAAAAAAAAAAAAAAAA